GCATTCCAGTACATCTCCAATCCCGTGCATCACGATCAATTTATGGTCAGAATATCATACCTGATAACGGCCTGTCTGCAGCACAAATACCAGAGTGTGAAAGGTTGAGCACTATTATTACTGAGGCTGTGACCCTGGCTCCAGCCTACTGAGCTAGCGTGCATTAAGTCTACCCTAAGGTCAGGTGCATGCGAGACACCAAACCCGTAAATGGCAAGCCAAACCTCGTCCCCCAAACAGCGAAATAGGGGGTTGGCCAAAGGTATTTCGGTGCTGCACTCTAATCACAGAAGTCAAGTCCTGCTTTCTCTCACCATTACATGTTGCACTCTTTGGAACCAACTACCACCTGAAATTAGACGTTGCGAAAACCCCGATGGGTTCAAACGGAGCCTAGAAAGACACATTAGACGTCTAAGAGACCACAACTGTTGGTAGAACGGAAATTGAAAGCCAGTCAAGTCTTCAGTATAGCCACATACGTATAACTCGACTCTACTACTTACGCAGCGAACGTTTAACTAATTTACTGATTTTCTATTCTCTATAATCTTCAATAAGTTTTGTTAGTATAAGTCACTCTGGAAATAATTATATTAGCAACCACACCTTTTAATATTTACATATATACGCAGTTTATAATACAATTCTTTTTTGTGTCGAAGTGACTTCACTCAGTCAATAACTATCTTTCCCATATACTTTTCTTAAGTGTATAATTTTATAACATTTCGCAGTATTTTTAACATTGTATAAGTTGAAGGGTTACTTTGCAATGTCTAACGCATACCATATGAAAATCGGTCATGAAAATTCAGCATAGCTGGTTATGTTAGCCAGCTGTTTTCTCCAAGATCATTCTGCATAATTTTATCACTAATTATTCCACTATCCATTTAAATCTACTAAATAGATCATAACTTGGTTGCTGTAATACTGACTACTTCTATACTTTATGCTTCTTAAAGTAAACTCAATTTCCTAGTCGTTTGTACTTATATACGTGCATGCATGTATAAAGGTGTTACTGCTAAGAATGTCCTCAGGTATCGATGTATCAGATAACCTAATGGGAAGCGCTTGTCATGAAAGCTATTAATGTACAGTAATGATTGGGACGGGCTCAAAGCAATGCAATGCTGCAACTACAGTTATTGCGAAAAATCTCAGAGATTACCATCAAAAAGGAGGCAGGGTGGCGCATGCTGATCAGCAGATATGGTGATAGTCACAAATGTGAATCGCTGCGATCTGTAGGACAGCAATATGGATTTTTTGACAGCTCGAGAATTAAACATTAGTCTGGACCCTCAAGAAAATAAATAATAACGGTTGTACAGATCTAAATTATAAAAAAGTGCTTTTGCTCCTTCCATCTACAACCTTGTTCACCTTCTTGTCAAGATGCCACCCATTGGGCCCTACAGAAATTTGCGAGACATCACACAGGCCAGCTTGTCCTACGGGTTCTAATTTTCCAGATCTTTGAATTCACTCCTCAATTAAATATCACTTACCTACCTCACAATAATCTTTTTATTTACGCGCCATTATACTCTACTTTATGTTAACTACCTAGGCCATCATTAAAGCTAAAACTTGCTCTTTGTTCATGTTTGTTGCTTGCCCAAAGTCTAGTTACTTTAATTGAAAACACAAAAACACCAATGTTTGAACAAAGCTATATCTTCATCGAAAACATCATGGTTTCCATGCTTAGACCAATATGGTTAGCTTTAAACATTGCAAATGTGTACTATCATTTCAAGTACTATATAGCTTCTTCTTCTTGTATTTACCTTGTAAACATGCTTCCAATAATGTGTTGTTCACAATTGCATTTTATACCATTTTGCAGCTGCGAAGAATTTTCTTATCTTCCTGAAATAGGGTTCAATCACGTGGTGGCATAGAACTCACCCAGATATACGTTGTCCACTGGTTGACCATAACTATCAGCAGGAAACGGAACGATGTTTGGGTTGTCTGTCAGCTTTGACGGTGACCTTAGTAAACGGTTTACAATTAAATATTTATAGGAACCTGTTCTGATTGCCTGTACAATAATTGAATAATTCAAACTTTTGAAAAAGTATTAACTTATGATACTTCAGGATTGCAATTTATAACACTACTGATCGTGCCTGTAAAAATGGTATGCATTTCTTGTAAACTTACCCATTTATACCAAATATAAATGGTCATTATTATTATAGAATAGGTGGCTCTCCGGGCACCCCTTCTCATTAGTCGCTGACTCAGGAGGCGTTAATCATTTCCCTGCTGACTGTGAGATGGTTCAGGCCAGGCACATGGTTGTGTGCATTCTGTTAACTATGCTCCGAACCTTCAGTGGTATCAACAGAATTGGCCTACCGATCTAGCATGTGTGGGTCTACACTTTGACTGTAAACGTGATCTATTAGGTGATCTACCTCGTTTGCCCTGTGTTAGTTGTATTTTTGCCAGTTGTTTCGTTGGTGATCTAAAGTTGGTTATAAGTTCTGCGATTGTTGGGTATTCGCTTACACTCATATGGTTTGGATGCTCTTCTGTAAGTCATTTCCTCTCCAACATTCGATCAGCGATGCGTGGGGGGATCAGGATTTTGTGCGTCTAGTGCTTGTTGCACATACACTAGCAGGCCTTGCATCCAACACTTCTTCAGGGCAGCCTCTCCCACAGTGATGCCCCCTAGAAGCTTTTTCAGGTGGCACAGGAACTGTGATGGGGATCTATCTCCCATGTTCCCCCATTGAAGCAACTGTCGTATACGTTGGTTCTCTAAAACAGAGGGGCATTTTATCAACTCCCACTTGAGTACTGTGTGTGGAAGCTTGTTGAGGGGTCGAAGTACAAGTTCCCTCACCTCCTTGCTGATCTCATGAGGTAAATGAAAACACACTCCTTCACAGACTTAATGTTATACCGGTCAAAGTAGTTGTCTAGTTGTGCACACTGATATTCCGGGACATGTCGACCAAGTCCTAGTAATCTAGCCTTGGTAGTCACTGAGGAATCCACCTCCGTAGAAGTAGCTTTTAAAGTTAGTTTCCATGTTTGGCAAACGGAAATTATAATGAATAAAAAATGGACTAGGCAGTGCGTTCGAGTCCAAATGTCCGAAAAATAACCAAAAATCAGAAATACATAGATTATAGTCAACTATAACAAAACAGAAGGCAAAATGTGAACAAAGCGGTCTCACCAATTTTGAAGCCAATTTTTCTATCAAAGTAATAATTCAAATTACTCACTGTCGACTCGAAATATTGTGGAAGGCCAGTGTTATTTGTGAACCCTTACCTTCAAAAACATGACAGAGGTCAAGTGAGGCGGGGAGTACGCAATCAAACAGACGGGAGGGTATTCATCATTCAACAGAAAAATAAAACCTTACAAATTATAAAGAAGATGTAGGTTCCACTTTGTAGCTCGTCCCCTGCGAATTTCTCAATTGCTTACGACGTCTGAGTAGCCATAGCATACTATGTTTAAGAGTCCCTATACTTCCCCTTCTAAATGCTGTATTACCCACTCACTGAAAAGACGCCATAGAAGTCACACTCACAAGAAGTAATCTAGACTATCCTTGAATCTACAGGCCAATTAGCCTCACCAGCGTCTTAGCCAAGCTACTGGAAAGGATTATCATGAAGGCCACCATAGCATGCCTGAAAACAAACACCTTTCTGTCCAATGCACAGCATGGCTTTTGGTGAAACCTCTCATGCTTTATAAATCTTATAATAGTGGGGGGATCTTGGTCAAGAGACAACAGAAAAACCATTGTCATCGTTTTCATATACTTCAGCAAATCCTCCGACAAAGTACCTGACACAGGACTGCTAAGGAAATGGGAAAGTCTTGGAATCAAAGGCGGCTAAATGAGATGGATTAGAGAATTCTTCGCCAATGAGAGACAGAGGATCAGGGTCGACTTCAAACCTTCTTCCTGGACGGTGGTACATAGTGGAGTAACACAAGGCGCCGTACTTGATTCCCACTTATTTATCTTCTGTATCAATGCATTGCTTGTGTTCTGCGAATCCCTTAGGGTTTTCTGCTCAGATGACTTAAAGATTCGGGGAGAACTCAAGGTTTAAAATGACGCGTCCACGTTGTGAGACCTCTGCAAATTGTTAGAATGGTGCAAAGAATTGATGTTTCTGACCAGCGTGAAGAAATGCGCAACCATGCGCATTGGACGTGCAACTATCAGCTCATGTGAACTAGAGGGAATAACACTTGCATTATTTCAGACTCATATGGGTCTGCGTCTCGTAATAAGTCACACCTTTAAAACCACAGCACACTGTTGCGCGCTGGCACCTCCTTGCTTCAGATCTTTATGGGCGATACACAGAGCGTTTACCGGAATCACGACAGATATGTTCACTTCTTTATGCGAATCTCCAGTCAGGTGGAAACTGAGTTGCCTAATCCAGTCAGTCAGTGACTTATACTTACTTCGGGCCCTCTCTAGAGTATGTGATTCTTGATATGATCAGTTTGTGATGACATAGTCAGGCAAAGGATCTCATTACATGATTTCAAAATCCAAATAGTAACTATAAACCTAGCCCACCCTTCCCTTTCCCTTCCGCCAGGTCGGAACACCTCAGAGGACATAGAAGGAGGGTCCTAAAACCAAGGAGTAACTATATCGCCGGGGAGTGTCCACTCTCCTACTGAGTAACAAACTCTTGGAACTGGCCTCCAGAAGTAGTGTCAGTGCCACAAGTCGATCTTTTGAGCAAGTATTATCAAAGGCACAAAAACTGTATGGTAAAGGATTAACGTGAGCTTCAAGCTTTCTATCCCATTCAATAAATCTGACTTCAGATTTTTGACTACTTACCAAAGTGTGTCCCATAAAAGTATTTCTTACGTCTTTCTGTTTTTCCATTCTTGATAAGCTCCCATGTTTCGAAACGAAATGACTTCCTAGTCAAAATAGTAGTGAAAATAACATTTTCCAATTGACTTTAAACATTGAGCATTGAGTATGTTTATTGCGGGAACCACCAATGACCTTGTTGGGTTTCAGGTGTCCGTTTCAGATCTCTACTTTGGGTAGGGTGTTTGCAGCTAGGTTTCACGTGGGAACATGTAGTGCGTCATATAAGTTGGTTGGCAATCCTTACAACGATGAAACGGTGGAAACTGCCCTTGAGCAGATAACAAAGCGACTCTTGTTTTCAGAAATACTCAAAGGTTAGTTGGTGTTTTTAATTCATTTTCGCAAACGCAGGCCTATCAATTACTCTTGGCATGGTGTTCAAGGAACCCGCAACTCTAAATTATCCTTTCGAGAAAGGGCCTTTGAGTCCTAGATTTCGAGGTGAACACGCTCTCCGTCGATATCCTAGCGGTGAAGAGCGCTGCATTGCATGCAAACTCTGTGAAGCTATATGTCCTGCACAAGCCATTACAATAGAAGCAGAGCCAAGGGCTGACGGGAGCAGACGAACGACAAGATACGATATTGATATGACGAAGTGTATTTACTGCGGTTTCTGTCAGGAGGCTTGTCCTGTGGACGCAATCGTCGAGGTAATTACAACTGTTCCATATAGTAGTGGGTAATGTATTATTACTTATTACCCAAGTCTTTTAGTTTTGCGTAATACTTCATCACTAAACTTGGATGTACGTTAATGTAAGCAAAGTTAGAAATAATGCTAACTTGGGCGAACAGCCAGATAAATAATTTTATGCGGCTGCTTGAAATATTCAATTGCTAAAAACAATAAGTCGTGAAGCAGTGCTTCTATCGAATATAGTGTGAAGAATGCAAGACAATCCCATACGTGATTTAGGAATACGTCTCCGTTGCTCATTGCAGTGTTGACTGCGAAATCAAATGCAGTTTATTAAATCATACAATATTTTACTCAAATTCCACCTTACTAAGTTTCTATAACTGCCATTGGATCAGTTCGATCTGTGTCAATACACTACCATGTGTAAGTAAATGGATCTCTTCCGATGCTGTAAATTAAGTATTCCTGTAGGTGCACTTCCAAATATACACATTTAATGATAAAACTCTAGGTGATCTATGGTATGTATCACTAATGGTTTGAAGGACATGTATCGGTAATTTTGCTATGTAATTCCTTCTGGTTGTTTCTATCACGTGTCTGTTTGACTAAGTTCCAACACAGAAACTTGCGCGGATTGCCTCACTCCATGTAATACACAAAGGCAGAGTGAAAAAATAAAAGTGATTATAATAAACAGGAATATGTGGTAGGAAAATGAGAACCTAATGGGTATAGATTACAATGAGTGAATGCATCTGCACCACTATAAGCAATTTTGAGCCATATCACCAATAGTCTTCAGTCATTGGTTCTTATCACCCCGAGGTCCCCAACCAGGCACTCTGCATCTCCCTTCATGACTGGCCTGCACCAACTGTCGAAGACTCCATGGATTGATGCCAAGTGTGGGTTTGGTCACCGCTAACTTTTTCTCCGCTTATGTGCACTTAGCACTAACGTCAATTCAAAATGAGTCATTTTCACTTCATTGTATTATTACAGGTGGTTAGGCATCAAAATAACTAAGTGGAGGATAATGTTTCTTTTCAAGAATTAGATTGACACTTGCGTTAAATATTACATGAACTGACTCCTTTTAAAGTTTATTTCTCAGTAGTTATGTATCACCATATGCACATGTTGTTTTTTAATCCATATCGTCAGTCAGCACTTTATTACCCAAGATATTATATTTACGTGGATGGTCCATAAGCTTCTGTTAGTTAAACCACAATCACTTGTATGAAGTTTCATTGGTGCTCTTTGAAAATGACTAAGTATCAATCTTAAATCATGAATTACGATGCGTTACAGGTTCAGCGTGTGTAATAAGTGTTCGAGCCACATTATTGGGTAATGACTCATCAGATGACTCACATTTCTTACCTGGCCTACAACTACTACCTTTCACTTGATTCATTGTGTGGAGATATCTAAGACTTCATTGGCCATGTCCCAGCAGTACAGTAGGATAATTTAACTAACCAGATGTCTCACCAACACGAAAGATAACACAAGATGGCAAGTGCCAGGTAAACCCTCCTAAATCTTGTCAAAAATTCATCAACGACTCTTGTCGCTTTTTTCAAACTAATGCAACCGCCCACAGCTTTTTTCAAACCTAAGCTGGCTAAATTGTTAAAAATTTGGATATTCTTAATTCTTGTGGTGTGACTATTTATTTTTTCTTTTAAATTTATTTCCGTTTTGATTCCAGGGACCGAATTTCGAATATTCTACTGAAACGCACGAAGAGCTGCTTTATAACAAAGAAAAGTTATTGCAGAATGGTGATCGATGGGAAGTTGAAATTGCAGAGAATCTGAAAGCAGATTATGTGTATCGTTAAGATGTTGAACAGATTGGCTGTACAGGACTACTGGAATAAGTTTGATCATTTCATCTTCAACTAGTTTGCAGTAATTCATTTTGATCATTAGATTTTTCATCCAACTTTGAAACCGCATAGTTAACTCATAGGCAAACAAATATATAAAATAAAATGCTTATTTCACGGGTGTTTTATTTACTTCTTCACAGGAAATATATTGGTTAGACGTGGTTTCTTCAGTGTTGTGCAGTTTTATGTATAAATATTCGATTGAGCTTTAAGGTAGATGTAACTTGTGTAGTTATGTAACGACAGAAGACAAGGGCCGGACAACAGATCGTTTATTGAGGAAATCAAGAGATATTTATATATTTTTATTTACTTTATTATTCGTAATTATTGATAGATAAACAGCGTCTTGGTTGTTTTCTCGCTGAAAGTTAATCGTCATCTCTTTGTGGCTGTTCCTTCGAAGGTCAGACCATATCTGCGAATCATATCTGCCCACGCAAAGTCTTTGTTCTTGTTTTTCTCATGACCAAGATTTGGGACTTAAACATTGACGCCAATTGCTGTCTACCAATTTTGGCTATCAGACAGCTCTCACCACAGTTGGAGCGAACAGTAAAGCCCAAGGTGATAATCGTCTTCCTTTTGGGATTCGTTAGGACAGCTTCCAATACCGTTTGGTTAAATAAGTTTGAAAAATTTGACTGACTGATCAGGATTCGAATGACGAAAATGCAATCACCGTTCATGGAACAGCCCTAACATACTTTAATAGTGTATCTACGTATAAGGATAAAACTTGGGCACTGTGGTAGAGTATAATTTCACTGTGGATAAAATTTTATTTTGATAAAGTCACACAGTATTATACAGTAATATTTACTGATGACCAAGTTTCGAGCACAATTTATTGCCACTCATAATCATATCAAGGTACTCACACAACTTTCTTGCTTCGTTTATGCACGTGAGTAGTGTATCTAAGTAGTTTACTTTAATGTAACTAAGTGTTATATACAGTGTAGGAATTACTTTGATTGGATACTAATTAGTAACTAGTGTAGTGTGTCTAGTCCTTTGTTTTGGTGCAGACTAAATTCTGTCAGTCAAGTTTGCAATGTGGCCACTATGCTAGGTGGCTCGTCATCACGGTGCACTCTGAATTGTGGATATTAGATGGTTGGAGGTAATCGGCAGGAAGCTTTGCCTGACCTAGGTGTCGTGGTTGCTGGTACTCACTAGTCAGTATGGTGTGTCTGCAAGCTTCAAGGAGGTCTTGTCCCCTCTGAGATTCGAACTCGCATCACCCAGTGCTGAAGTCAGAGACGTTACTACTCTGAAGGGACATAAGTTCCTTCAAGCTTGCTGACGAGTGCCAACAAGCACGAAACCAAGATTTCCTACCAATTGCCTCCAACCATCTAATACCAGCAATGTAGGACATGAGTGTTTACATCGGTTTATTCTGAAGTCTTAGTTCGCTATATACCCAAATTAAATCATTGAGACCGTGAATTTTGTATCTTTAAACCTGTTAGGATTCGGGTTGTTGGGTAGCATCATTAACCCTGAGACAGGAGGTGATTTATACTTTTGACACATAAACTTTCCAGCAATTGCTGAAATACTTTTAATATACTACTTTATATTTCAAAGCAAGAGTAGTATCTGATTTAAGAAGCATTAGAATGACTCTAGTAGAGTAATCAGTTTTATATATGGCACACACGTATGTGGGTAATGCTTACTGATAAAGTTTCGGGCATAATTTATCATTCACAGTCATATCAGTGTACACAAATAACTCCACCTTGTGTTTCGGATTTTAGTCGATAATGATGAAGCGGTGGCGTAAAAACGGAATTCAAGGTTTCTCTGGTATCGCTATATAAAAAGAAACATCAAAAGCTTTACACTGATGTAAGAAGGAAAGTCAGTCGGTGTAGTTGTAAAGCTTCATTGACTGAGATATCTACTATATGTAATATGCATTCAGAGCCACTGCCTCTCTTAACAAGCACTGTTAGCTGAGTTAAGGGTCAAACGAAAACAGCACGATCCCATGGATTGACTTTTGATTAGAGACACGTAGGAGATTTCTCACAGCTACTTGGCATTAATAGTTGGTGAAATGGCTCAGAATTAGTCGCTTATCGTGACCTTCCAAATCCATAAAATCCTCATTGTTCTTCATCCGGTTATCCATTCCTATATAGATATCCGTTTATTATAGTTTTACTGTATTTCTCCACCCCCTTACCTTTACGTGTGCTTTTATGAAGTATGATAACTGATTCACTTTTGTGCAGAGTTTTACTTTCATATTTAAATTATACTAGTTTCTGTTAAGTGACAAACGGGGATCAGTCGAGTTGCTGTTTGAAACAGCCCAAAATCTTGCTCTGAAGACTGACTACATGGTAGGTTTGTCTGAAAACAGTTATACAGATAAATTCACAAGTCAGTATAGAGGTAGTTTTGGTAATCAAAATTGTTGCTACAAGACAGGAAAGTTAGTCTCCAACTAACTTCCATGGGAGATATGCTATTACAATGGCTAAGACTCTAGGAGTTCCTGTCGGAAGTACTTATCCGGCTGCCAGACTTATTCCCGTGCTCTCGAACAGTCGGAAGTTGACAGATATCCATCAGGAATTGCCACAAACTTTGCTCACCGTTTCATATGTACGTGTGATAGGAATTCCACATAGGAAGGATATGAGAATAGGTATTCATATTCGAGCATGTTTCTAAAAACCTGGAGCCAATTGTTTCCAGTCTTCTAATTTTGACATCTGGTCAGTTCTGGATACAAAGTAGGGTGAAACAGTTGTCATTGGACAAAAGAATCCAACCTTTTATACCAAAGGTTAATAATTAGTCTCACTCTGATAACAGTTACTGAACTTACTGCGTAATTATGTATCTTGTGTCGTCAATATCTATCTTCTTTTTTATGAACTATCAATTTTAACTCACTTATCTGAAGTTATAACTTATTCCTAAATGCTTTTCTGTACATAATTACGTAGTTTCCCTGTCTGTCACAGACTACAAACTGAAAATCCCTAGTATTCTTCCAAACTGCTAGTTATGAGTAGTCAGTTTTCTCCCATTTCAAATACAAACGGTCTATCTATCATTCCATTTGTTACTGTTCTATGAAAGTACAATCTCGATACTGAGTTTAGCACAGTTGAAAAGTGTATATTTTAGGCTATCTGTGTAGGTGAATAGAAGCGTCAAGATGAAATGTGTTCATTTAGTATTTTCAGTCTTAATCTTCTTGCCTTGACGTAGATAACCGAAGCAACACATTATATGATCCAATCTGATGAAGTAATCTAAGCTACCAGTTATTATACAGTGTCTGTGAGGTCGTGTGCATGAGTTAAGCACGTCGATGAAAACTAATAAAGTTATGGGAACTTATATATCGTAGGAAAGACTCTACTCCTCAGAACAGGTAGTGAAGCAAGATTTGAATGTATTCAGTGACACACCAGAGTAACGGTTCTTAAATCTAATATAGTTAAGTGGGGGGGTTAAGTTGATTACGCAATCTCAGTTTATCAAATAATTATCCAACACGGGTAATAGGAGTAACGTAATGCTCTCATCGATGAAATGAAAACAAAGTGATTACTGATATGACTTTGTGCAGTAAATTGAACTCGAAATATTAATAAGTATTGAATCTATTCTGAAGGTATACCGTATCAAAAGTTCAAGTTCTATCGTTGATGTGAAATGGATTGGTGTGTGGTCAGTAATGGCGGGAAGAGATGGATCATGGAGACAGTGTGAGTTAGAGGAGTAATCATTTTATAACATCCTTTTGAAAATAATAGTGAGCAGTTGTGAGAGTTTGTTCCTTTGGCTGATTGACTGGTTTCATCACAGAACTTTCCACAGATTTGCGGCAGTCCAAGTTGCCACACTCCCTTCATGTGGCACACAAAGCAAGAGAAAGAGGGATAATAAACAGAAGTGTCAAGGAAAAAGAAGAGTAGTAACATGGAAGAACAGTAGATTTCTGTCGGATACGACAAACAACAAAGATTGAATGCATCTGCGCCAGCCACTGAGAATGATTTTGAGCCATATCACCAATTGTCTCCAGCCGCTGTCATTGGTTCTTACCATCCCGACGACCCCGACCAATCAGGAAGCCTACATCTCCCTACGTGACTGGCTGGCTTAAACTAACTCTTATGAATTTCGTTGACTGATTAGATCATGTTTTTGTTTGACCACCACTTGCTCTTTTGCAACCTGATCGTCAGTAATGTCAGCTATTATTGCCTGTTGTCGAGAAAGGCGACGGTTAGGAGGTATGCGTAACACATGTATGTCCTAACCATCTCAATCGATGTAATTTCGATACCTCATCGATTGATTTCCCGTTCTTTCTCTCCTCTTTTTCTTAACCTGTTCCATTGGTAGGCTAGAAAATCGAACATTTAATACTAGTCATAAATCTATTCATCAGTTGAAGTAATTTAAAAACAAGCGTGATAATAGGTGAAAAAGTACGCGCATAGAAGTCTTGCAGTGTTAACAAAAAACGATAGTTGAAATCAAAACTTTAGTGGAATTCGACGGCGTGTATTTAAACATGGTGGAGATCCCTTTGGAATACGTGGTGTTATTCTTGAGATAACAAACAGCTTCATCCCAATAACTTATTACTTTATTTCTATTCCTTTACGTTCCCAGTAGAACGTAGAGCTTCAAGCTAGAGGCTTGAATTTTCAGTAGCAGTGGTGTTTATTTTTACGGGAGAGGGTTGCTAATCTTATTACTGGCTTAGCGAGGTAAAGGAGTGCGTCGGTGGCCGGGGATCAAACCCCGGACTACATGGGGGATTGACGAGCATTCTACCACTATGCCACCGACGCAATAACTTATTTACAGTCCACTATTTGCTAGAAGGAGGAAAGGTGGTTAGCCCATGATGTGCGCCGTAAGATAAAGGATAGTTGTGTACGATTAGCATCTGTTGGTGAATCACGACTTCCTATGTGGAGGTTGAGGGTGTCTCTAGACGTGTTAACAGATATGGCTCAGAATCTAAATCAGTGGGAAACATGCTTCAGTTTTCCCTTTCTCTTTCTGAAAGTAATGTATACTCGTTTGAATGTAACTTCTATTCCTTTTTGTTTGCATTCGCTTAT